CACCAGGGGCCAGATGCTCAATGCAGGAGCTGTCCCCTGATGGTCACTGTGATCCCACAGGGGGAGCTCTGCTCAGCCACAAGCCAGGCCGACAGCTGCCCGCACAGTGGTGGTGGTGGGAGCCTCTCCTGCCTCCGCAGCAGCGCTAAGGATGTCTGACTACAGCTTAGGCCTGCTCCCCGCTGGCAAGTGGACATCCCCCGAGGGCTGCCAGGCTGCCAGAGGGATGTCTGATTGCCATCTTAGGCCCAATCCCCCCCAGGGAACGGGCCTAAGCCAGCAGGTGGTCATCCCCCGAGGGGTCCCAGACTGTGCACCGGGCCTCTAGTATGTTAATAAGAGGTGAAACATAAAAGTAATTAAGGTAGCTATTCTTTGCTCATGAGTAAATGGGACTCTAAATTTAAACAGCAGGGTTTTTTGCGGGGGTAGTAGAGCACTTAAGCTTGTCCATGCTCAGAGGTCTTTAGCTAAAAATAGCGTTATGACTGACAGGATTTGAATCTAGTGGAACAGGCTTAGAAAATTGATGAATGGTAATGCAACCTTTGGCCTATGGTCAAAATAGCTTTTTTTTTTAATTATTATGCAAGTGAAGTTTGAATGTAAAATTCAATTCTGAGTCCAAGTTACATATATTTTTAAAACTTTCCATAGCTAATTTCAACATGCAGTCCTGTTAAGAATACCTGATTTAAAATGATAATGTACCTTAACCTGTTACTTTATTTTAAAAATCTGTTCCTCATTTTTCAGAAAACAATATTTTGCTTAAATATTAACTTAAAATATTCTGTAATTTGTTGCTGTTTTTTCCCCTTATGGCAAGAATAGTTTGTAAAATATTTATATAACATTTCAATTTTTCATGAAAGCTTACATTCTATCTGCTCAGATTTGAGTTTGAATCTATGTGTTTTGTTAGAGGTTAGGGAGTTTATATAATGCATGATGATAGGCAGCCATTTTTTCCTCTATTCCTGGAATTGTTTTTTAATTCTGCAATTTACTCTTGGCCTTAGATTAATTGAAAATAGTGTATGTGAGTTACCTGTTATAGGACTTGTCAGGTGCAGAAGTCAGATGTGGTATATGTTAGATGCCTCATCTTCTTCAGGTTATAAAGAAGATGAGGCATCTAACATGTACTACATGTGCAGTGAGATGGCACAAGTGTAAAAGGAACTGAGATGTAGAACAAATTTCAGAAGAAATTTAGCCAGTGATTCATGTTCTTATAAATTCAATTACTAATGTTCTAGAATTTTCCCATGACACTTTTTTATAAATGAAAAAATAATAATTGAAGTTGAATGATTTCAAAGATATCTTTAAGCATAAATGTATTTTTGTCAGCTCTCAGAATTTTCTTTGAGTAAGCAATTTAGTGGCTAATGTTTTCATATATTCTAATCTGACTTTTCAGTTTAAAAGTTTATATTTTGAAGTGATTAAGGAAAAAAAGAAAGTAAGGAAAAAACCAAACCTCCATAGACAGACAACTGTATGGAGATTATCAGAGGGAAAAGAGGGTTAGCTATGGTGGTGGAAGGAAACTTGACTTGGGGTGGTGAACACACAATATAGTAGTACAGCTGATTTATTAAAGAATTGTACCCCTGAAACTTATATAATTTTATTGACCAATGTCACCCCAATAAATTTAATAAATTATTAAAAATAAAATGAAATATTTATATTTCTTTTCCATGAAAAAGCTCATATTGATTTGTAAGGCAAACTATTTAGTAACTTCTTTTGGGGAGAAGACATATTAAAGATATACAATAGGTTTTTTTATTTAACAATTCTTTAGAAACTTTTCTGCACAGAGTCTATATTGTCCCCCAGTCCCCTTTTTCTTTATTCGTAGACTCTATACTGTTTTTCATTCTCCATGTGATACTCATTTTTTTTTAGCTCCTTTAGGAAATTACAGTATAATTTCAGGGCATACCATATATGGTTCTCATTCACATTTGTACCATCTGGAGCTGGGCCGCCACCTCAGAATTTAAAATTTTAGCAATTTTAGAGTTGGGCTAAGAATTTGCATGCAATGCTGCTGCTCCATTAAGAAATACTGTCATATCCCTAACCGGTTTGGCTCAGTGGATAGAGCGTTGGCCTGCGGACTCAAGGGTCCCAGGTTCGATTCCAGTAAGGGCATGTACCTTGGTTGCGGGCACATCCCTGATAGGGAATGTGCAGGAGGCAGCTGATGGATGTTTCGCTCTCATCGATGTTTCTAACTCTCTATCCCTCTCCCTTCCTCTCTGTAAAAAATCAATAAAATACATTTAAAAAAAAAAAGAAAAGAAATACTGTCATAGAGTATGAAGGAAAGTGGCATATCTTTCTCTGTTTAATAGTTTTCTTCCAAATGTAATCGCACTTGTTTGTTTTATTTTTGCATCATAATACTCTTGAAAGAATTTTAAAAGTTGGGATCTGTATTCAGGCATGCTTGATAAGTATCACCAAAACAAATAACTGAACTGAATATTGGATATGTAAATGGATGGGTTGATGGGTGGGTTAGGCATTCCTATCCTAGGTAGTAGCAGCTTTATCTATCGCAGGTTATTCTTCTATACCAATTTTAAGATGCATCCAAATTTCAAATGTGCTAATATAGGAGATATTATGTGACTTGGAATAGAGGACATGCAATATATGAATTAATTTTGTAAGACGTGTAATGTGGACTAAAGAACTAGGAGTCTATGATGGAGAAAATTTATATTTATATTTTCCTTTTAGATTGTCCAGTTTATTGTTACATTGGTTCAGAATAACCAGCTTGTGAGTTTAAAACGTAAAAGGTAAGATTTTATAATAAAATATTTTGACCTACACATGGACAACAAAAAATTTTAGTGTTTAACTATGAATGGCCTACATGTGCTGAGGGTTCACCCATTTTCCTGGATGAACAGTGCTCCCTTGTTAAATTACACTCGTGTTTCAAGAGTATGTTACTTCCTCATGCTGTCATCTTCCTCATGTTTTTGAAAGATAAGGATAGCCTAAATGATCACTTTACAAATACATACAGTTAATAAAGAATCTGTATTTCATTACATTACCAACTTAATGTATCTTTAGAAAACCTGAGTGAAAGTTTTTTAAAAGGTTATATCTTTTAAAAAGAAAACAGCCCTGGCCGGTTTGGCTCAGTTGATGGAGCGTCAGCCTGCAGACTGAAGGGCCCCGGGTTCGATTCCGGTCAAGGGCATGTACCTTGCTTGCGGGCACATCCCCAGTAGGGGCTGTGCAGGAGGCAGCTGATCGATGTTTCTCTCATCGATGTTTCTGGCTCTCTATCCCTGTCCCTTCCTCTCTGTAAAAAATCAATAAAATATAAAAAAAAAAAATTTTTTTACTTGATCGTATGTTTAATGTACTCATAAGGTCTTTAAAAGACTGTATGTCAACCATGGATTGTGGTACCTATAATTGTCAGTAACTACCATTGTTACAACTAATACATAAGAATAATAGACAAAGGAATATTTGGAAGAAGAAAAAGATTATTTTGTAAGGCTAAGATTTTAGCAAAGCTTGGTTATGCTTACAGCTTATGCAGTGGCCTTAATTAACCTACTTCCACTAATTAGTTCTTATGATATTACCTATTTATTTTTTACCATGTAAGCACTGTACTTAAAACTAGACCACCAATTTTATACACCATACATAAAAATAAACTCAAAATGGATAAAGGACTTAAACGTAAGATGGGAAACCATAAAAATCTTAGAAGAAGCCATAGGCAGCAATATAGCAGACATTTGTCGTAGCAGTACCTTTACTCATACAGCTCCTAGGGCAATGGAAACTAAGGAGAAAATAAATGGGACTACATCAAAATGAAAAGCTGCACAGCAAAAGAAACCATCAACAAAACAACAAGAAAGCCCACTGCATGGGAGAACATATTTGCCAATGTTATTCCGATAAGGGTTTAATCTCCC